CAACGTTCCATTGTTTTTCACAAGGCATCCGAGATCGAGATAACCCAATTATTATCGTATATTTGCTTATTAATGTCAGGCCGTCTTCCTTTTAACTAGATGTACAGGGTGTCCCAGACTTAATGAAGCCGTTAACGATGGATTTCTGAGATTATTTGGAAACGAAAATCTTAATACCAAAATGTTGAGGGAGATGTAGTTTCGGCGCTATAAAAGATTAAAGATTACGGTTGAATCGTTAAGTCTTGGACACCCTGTATAATTCCGCCTCTCTCTTTCACTCTTTCTTTCTCGATATGTTTATCTTCGTCATTTTTCTTCAAGCCTTTCATGTCAACTCTGTATTGCCATAGATGGTTTTATCTCTCGCCAGAATTATTTTACAATGTCCCATTGTTTTTCGCAAAGTATCCGAGATCGAGATAACCCAATTATAACAACGTATATTTGCTTATTAATGTCAGGCCGTCTTCCTTTTAACTAGATGTACAGGGTGTCCCAGACTTAATGAAGCCGTTAACGGTGGATTTCTGAGATCATTTGGAAACGAAAATCTTAATACCAAAATGTTGAGGGAGATGTAGTTTCGGCGCTATAAAAGATTAAAGATTACGGTTGAATCGTTAAGTCTTGGACACCCTGTATAATTCCGCCTCTCTCTTTCACTCTCTCTTTCTCGATATGTTTATCTTCGTCATTTTTCTTCAAGCCGTTCGTGTCAACTCTGTATTGCCATAAATGGTTTTACCTCTCGCCAGAATTATTTTACAACGTTCCATTGTTTTTCACAAGGCATCCGAGATCGAGATAACTCAATTATAACAACGTATACTTGCTTATTAATGTTAAGCCGTCTTCCTTTTAGCTAGATATACAGGGTGTCCCAGACTTAACGAATCAGCCGTTAACGGTGGATTTCTGAGATCATTTGAAAACGAAAATCTTAATACCAAAATGTTGAGGGAGATGTAGTTTCAGCGCTATAAAAGATTAAAGATTACAGTTGATTCGTTAAGTCTTGGCCACCCTGTATAATTCCGCCTCTCTCTTTCACTCTCTCTTTCTCGATATGTTTATCTTCGTCATTTTTCTTCAAGCCTTTCATGTCAACTCTGTATTGCCATAAATGGTTTTACCTCTCGCCAGAATTATTTTACAACGTTCCATTGTTTTTCACAAGGCATCCGAGATCGAGATAACTCAATTATAACAACGTATACTTGCTTATTAATGTTAAGCCGTCTTCCTTTTAGCTAGATATACAGGGTGTCCCAGACTTAACGAATCAGCCGTTAACGGTGGATTTCTGAGATCATTTGAAAACGAAAATCTTAATACCAAAATGTTGAGGGAGATGTAGTTTCAGCGCTATAAAAGATTAAAGATTACAGTTGATTCGTTAAGTCTTGGCCACCCTGTATAATTCCGCCTCTCTCTTTCACTCTCTCTTTCTCGATATGTTTATCTTCGTCATTTTTCTTCAAGCCTTTCATGTCAACTCTGTATTGCCATATATGGTTTTATCTCTCGCCAGAATTATTTTACAACGTTCCATTGTTTTTCACAAGGCATCCGAGATCGAGATAATCCAATTATAACAACGTATATTTGCTTATTAATGTCAAGCCGTCTTCCTTTTAACTAAAAATAATTATAAAAATAATTATAAAAATTTAACTATAAAAGATTAAAGATTACGGTTGATTCATTAAGTCTTGGACACCCTGCATAATTCAATCAAATCATCTTATTCAAAATTTTTAATCTTCGATGTTCCTTGACAACAAAGTTGCAAATTACTGTTCCGCTCGAATGAGGCTATGGACACTTAAACATAAGAATTATTAATGCTTGGATAATTTCTCTGCGGCAAAGCCGACTTTCAATTAATTGAGAGACGCTTCAGGGTAAGCTGTCCATTTAATTCCAAGATGTCCCGTACATATTTTTGCGCGATGACCGGAGCCGCTCCATTACAAGCGAAAGCCTGCATGAATATGCAATATTCTTAAGCCTCAGCTCGATTGTTAGCGCACGAGCGAACCCTCGACCCAACAATGGAACCTTTTGTAGCCAGGATTTGACTATCCTCCATTCTTTGCGGCGCGTAATCAGGAGAGGCAATCCGTGGAATTTGGGTTGATGTGGTTTCTGAAAGTAGACGGACGAGGCGGTAGGAATACGAAAGAGAAAACGTCAAAGGGAATCAAAATGTACCAGTTCTCCTCTTGGTTGCGAGACATTTTGCCGCAGAAATTCAATAGAATCGTAAAGGAATAAGAGCAAAATATGTCGGAACGTCGCTTTTATTCTCCCATCTTTCGTCGCAGCATTTTAACCATTTTATTACGTATCTATACAAATGATATATAAAAGAAAAATCTTGAGGATTCATTGTGTTTTAAGCATATTTTCAGACATTGAAAAAGGAACGAAACGCTCGCAAGGGATACTTTAAAAATATTTCCATTCAGAAATTTTATATTAATAATGCTTTTTGTGTACAAACCTTATGCACTATGAGCTATTGTGCAAAAATTCCTGCCGCAAAGTATCGAAATATTTTTTTCGAGATTAGACGAAGATTAAAAAAAAAAAATAGAAATATATAATCAATAAGCTTCTAATAAAATGCGACGCGAAATATTGTTACTCGATCCCGATTGACGTCGCGTACGATTCATAAATATTGGATTCATACGAGCTGTCATTCAATCGCATAATCGCAATAATACATGGGGTTGTCTGAAATGAATGGCAGTGGTAAATTTCAACAAAAGGTTTAAAAATCCGCTCGTGCTCGACCTCGGCCCAACCTCATTTCGTTCCAATTATCTGTCCATCAAACTTTTATATTTTCGAGGCTGCTGAAACGCGGTTCCCTTCTAACGCTACTGACGAAGGAATTTCTCGCACTGCGAGATCGTTTCATCCCTGTGTAAACGTCGAGGGCGGAATATTTGCTCGCAACGACTCGATTATTCGCTCGTTACAAATCGTTGCGAGCTCGTCGTCGTCGCAATCGGTGATTTCATGCCCTGTGTCTCATCGTTTTCAATCATTTTTTTTTATACACGCACGCGTTCTCGTCGTCGAGTCTCAAAATTGTATTATTAAAGAGAGATAGAACTGTAAAAAAAAAGTTGGAAGCAAAGCAAAGAGATGTGTCTTATCGTTTTCAATCATTTTTTTTTATATACGCACGCGTTCTCGTCGTCGAGTCTCAAAATTGTATTATTAAAGAGAGAAAGAACTGTAAAAAAAAAATGTTGGAAACAAAGCAAAGAGATGTGTCTCATCGTTTTCAATCATTTTTTTTATACACGCACGCGTTCTCGTCGTCGAGTCTCAAAATTGTATTATTAAAGAGAGAAAGAACTGTAAAAAAAAAAAAATGTTGGAAGCAAAGCAAATAGACCTCTCTCTACCCTCGTTTGAAATTAATGCATTCATTCACATTTCTCGACACATAAGAAAAAAAAATGATTGCAAAATAGAAAAACAGCTGTTTTACCTCTCCTTTACTTTTAATGATATCGTGGAAACATTTTGCTGCATAAATCATTACGGTAAACAGAAAATGAGTGCCGAGAGAGAAGAAATTACAATTATTTGTCGCAACGAATCGCATTTCTAAGAATGCAGTCTCGTCCGGAGTGGTTTAACGAAGTGCTTTAATAAGAAAGCCATATCAAACCGGATGGGAGTTTCCCTTTCCTAAAGAGTTAACGTCGAAATAAATTATTTGCACTCGGCGCATGCCGTAAATCCAATATAATTTAAGTAGATTTCGCAATTTTATCAACTGGTAACCCGCGGACATTAATCTGTTTTAATAGAGCTTATTAAACTCGCCGCTCTTTGTCAGGAGAAATGGCACTGTGCGTTTTTTTTTCATGATTTAATGGAAAATTTTCTCCAATATCTCCTTTCCTCCGAGGGGAAATATCTACAAAACACTCTGATCGATGCTTAGGGCGTCTCTTTATTCCTTCTCTCTTTTTTCTTTTCTTCGTCGCTCGCCAACTATCGGGCTTCTTATTCGTCACAATTTTATAAGTAAATTTTTAACATCTCGTACACACTATTATGCTGTAAATTATTATAATCTATAAGAATGCCGCTCTGGATACACAGAAAAAAAGGACTCTTGTTTTTGAAAATATATGTTGTTAAAAATATATTTAGTTTTAACATGGAAATCTTGAAATGATATTCCATTGCGTTAATTAAAGAGAAATATATTTGCTTGAATAATTGCTTACTTGAATGAAGCCATTTTATATAATTTAATCATGAAAAATATTTTCTTACGATTTAAGATTTAATTTTCTTGAATGGAAAAGAAACAATGTTAGATAAAAAATAACATTTTTAAATCAAAGATTATAATTTTCTTAAAGTAGAATTAAATAATTACATATTCTTGAGGTGATAATTACAATATTAAAATAAGACTATAATATTGTTGAAATTTAAAATTATTAAGTGGTATTATTAGTGGTCTGTCTTTGCAGTTTTAACTCTTTATAGTTATTTCGTACCATCATCCTACGGTCGAAGCCTTTTCTTTTTTTTTCGTATTAAAATTATTATATAAAATAATTATGAAATAATTCTATAAAATAATAATTTCGTATTAAAATTATTATTAAAATTATTAAATTTTTTTCGTATTAAAATTATTCTTAAAATAATAATTTCGTATTAAAATTATTATATAAAATAATTATAAAATAATTCTATAAAATAATAATTTCGTATTAAAATTATTATTAAAATTATTAAATTTAATTAAAATTATTAAATTAAAATTATTAAATTTTTCTAAGAAAATTATAAATTGTATATACGAAACAATGAACGCGTTAGTTTAAGTATATAAGTTTTGATTTGACACGTATTTTTTTCTGTGTACCTTGAGGCTTATATCCTCCTCGGTCTCTTATAAATTTCCCTTCTCTTTGGCGCTAACATTTCGCTCGCTTTTTCTGTTGCAGCGACCACTCGATCAGCAACCGCGTGGACCGTCGCGGCCACCCGACATATTGCGAGTGCGGCGAGGTGACGAGGCCCTTATGACGACGGGAGGAGACGGCCGAGAGTGCCCTGGCCACATCGCAATCCGACTTTTAGGCCCTGTTCGCTCTACCCGTCCTCGACCGTCCTTCCGGCCCAATGGCCGGCGATCTATCTTGTTGAACTCTACCGCATGTTTCCCGGCAGCATTTCATCCCGACCTCTCCACGTGTACAAATCAACATACAATTCGCATACGTTTAAATTCGCATACGTCAACGAGATACGCGGGACGAGGGAAGCGATCCTTCAACCCTCTCGACGACTCTCGTCCGCCGATTGCAAAGAGTAGAAGCTGCCCCCGCACAACGTGCGCGTTGTACACATGTGCGGTGTTGTTGCGTGGTTAATTGGTACAAGGGCGGTTCGCGGCTAGTAATTACCAGTGGCCTGTGAGCCGCGAGCTTGGTGGTAATTGAGCGGCGCGATTGACGCGATTATAAAAGGCACCGCTCGCGTGATGAGTATCGCGCGATCTGGCGAAAGGTGAGCGCAAATTGGTTATCACGCGCAGAATGAATAGTTTCGCTTTACACGCCGAGATGCCTAACATTACGGTGCATTACGGTGCTCGATGGCGTTTCACTAATTGTTAACGATATTCGGGAAATATTTCCTTTTCGCGTGACGTGTGATAGAAAATATTAGATTACGTCAGCGTACGAAAGGATGAAAAAATGCGACTCCCCGAGGAAGAATTACCTCTGCATACGTTCTAATTTTATATCGCGAATAATCTCGCTGCTGGCCTAGCTTGCGCTAATTAATTTCATTCGACGACACGAGCTCCGAATTTCCTTTTGACATTATTCGCGAATACGTACGAGTGTAATAATTCAATATTTGTCGATCCGTCTGCAAACAATAACGAAAATTGTGAAACGACAAAGCGTATGATATGCGTATAAATGCTTTCGGTAAATAAAAATCTGCGTAAATAAGGTACGTATGAAATTCTGAAAATCCCGAATAAACATAATGCGTAACGTTCTGATTGCATAACCGCGTTCACTCGCACGTTTATTGAAAGTTTCCACCCACGTATGACCGAGATGAATGCGTCCCAATTGGTTCCGCACGTGGTTAGAAGAGTTTACGTTCGCAAAATTAGTCGGGGATCATCTACGAATCCTTCTGGATTTCAGTATCGCATTCGAAATTAGAGCAACGAACAAGCCGAGCAAAACAACTATTTACATACGTTTTAACGAAATTAATAAGAAATTGCCATAATAAATATATTATTCATAAACAACATTCTATAACAATTGTCTTTAATATTTCTCTTATTAATTTCTATATATTTTTTATATTTCTTTTATATTTATACTTATTTTATATTTATTTTATATTGATATTCATATTTATTTTTGATATTTATTTCATATTCATATATATTTTTATATTTATTTTATATTTATATATTATTTTATTTATTTCTTTGCGTTTTAAATCTATAACAAAATTTAAAATTTCTATGCAATTTCTTTTCTTCTTTTTTTGATGATTCTTTTAATATTCCTCTCGTGCACTCAAAATTTTTTCTTACGCATAAAAAGGTCTCGCAAAAAGTCTTCGCTCGGCGGCTCTGGCAAATAAATGGACTTATCTAAAATCTATCTGCGAGAAATCGATCGGTGCAACTGTAAACCTCGCGACAGCCAATTTATTTTCCTGCCACTGGAAAGTCGTTATTCTCGAAGAAACGTTGAAATGAAAAAAGGAGAGTGAGAGAGAGAGAAAGAGAGGTCAGGTTCGGGACGAAATAGGTATTGCCATTGTTCTCGTTTTCCCAGTGTATCTCGAGTTGAAAAGGCACAGTCAGAAATAAGAAACCGGCGCACGAGAGGACGGATGTTCGAAAATGTCGATGTTCTAACTCATTTCATTATCGCGCGATATTAAATCTTCGACGATCCGGGTCGCGGATGTCTTCGGAGCCCGGGTTTATGATTTGCTTTCATTGTTTCTGGAAACTGGAGTCGATCGATCAAATCAACATCGGGATGCAAGAAGGGATAACGGCATCGTTTCCAAGAAACTGCCCGGTAACTGCATTTTTCACCCCCAAAAAAAAAAGAAAAAAAAATTTGAAAGTTTCCACGAAAGTTCCGTGTACTTAATTTACGTGTAAATTCATGCGCGAGGTGTCCGGTGTTAGATGTTAACAAGGAGAAAATTTATGAGTAGACTGCGCTAATAATTGTCGCGCAGAGATTATGGTGATTTGAATATCGGTAAACATGTGGAGTTTTACTTCTCTAAATTATTTACAATCTATGACGTAAATCGCGGAGCTGAAGAGGCCTCCCACGTGAATATTAAACTTTAATTTCGTGGTCAAATTGGCTTCCGATAAACGGCCGTATCAATTTCCCGAGAGCCAACGTCTACCTCGAAGACGGTTCATTTGTATGTGGATTCGCTTAATGGAAGCTGCGAGATCCGACGGGGATTAATGGTAGGGGTAGCAGATGCACCAGCGAGCCGAGTTAAGTATTACATTGTACGCGGGAAACGCATCCATCTCGGTAAAATATGCATACCCGCCGTCGTGCACTCGACTTGACTCCAAGTGAAGACTCAACAGACTACATCTATTATCGTCACGTCCGTTAACGTACGGCTTTCCCGATTGTAATTATGCGCCTGCCGATCCGCGTGATTTTTTTCCTCCCTTTTTTATTTTATTTTATTTTTCTAAACAAAGTACAGCACGTCCTCATAAATTACCGCGCGCAAAAAAACGGTGCATAGTTAACAAACTTAATTATTTCGAAATGTATACACGGGGAAAATGTTACGGTAAAAATTACAATGTAGTTCTCGTAATCGTGAAACTTAGCCGCACAAAAAAATCACGATATTTTTATTCAATAATATTGTTTTGCAAAAGTATAATTATTCAAATATTCCGACGCATAGTCGAATAATAAAAAAAAGTGCATAATTTATAATTTTTATATGGTAATGTAATAAATATTTCAGCTTTAACAATAAACAGATAAAATTCCCCTTTACAATAAATCTTGCAGGAGGGAATTTTTACGTAATAATATTTTTACACAATTTTTTCACCGTAAAATTTTCTCCGGATACGTGTGCGTGTGAATCGTACGGGGGCGATTAATATTGCATCATGACTCTTTCAGGAAGGGCCGTCCCGTTGCGTAATTTTATTTGCAACGGTATAATTCAGTTTGAAATGCGAGGCTCTCTCTCCTCTTTTTTGCTTCTAAACTTTTATCGATGATTCAACGATGTAGTACACGATCCGCGAATGCAGGCTTCTCTCTCTCTTTCGGAGCTCGGAAATGCCGTTGTTCGATGCTATTTAAAACTCGCGAGCGCAATCCAAGACTAATCTCGGCTCGCGAATAACGAAGCTACCGGCATGGATTGTTTCGGAAATATTTCGGGGCGATAATCGAGCGTTCTCGTGCCCCGATGCCTGCATCGGCTTTCTCATTTCTTTTCTCTTCTACCCCGCTGATATTTATACGCAGAGTTTTGCGGGGCTTCGCGTGCTTCTTTCTGCTTACGAGGCAAATAGTTTTTGGAGCCCGCCGAAATTCACCGCGGCACGCAACGCGATTTGCGTCGAGTTCCCTCGAAACTGCACGGATATACACTTATGCTGGCAACGTCATGATTCTCGAGTCAATAAGAAAAATAATTTGTGTGGGATGACTCGCAATTGGATGATGTTAAAAAAGTGTGCTTTCAATTACGACATTTTCGACGCAAGCCGCTTCGTTTTGATCGGCGTTAATGCAATCTTTTAATTTCACAAATTTTGAATTTCATAATTTTGATTGTTATCACTTAATTATTATTATTATTATTTAATTATTATCATAATTTTAATTATTAATTATATTCAATTAATAATAATAATGTTAATAATAATAATAATAATTTGATAATTATATTAATAATTAATTTAATAATTATAATTTTATAAATTTATAACATCTTTCAATTTTACAAAGTTATCTCTATGAAACTCAAAAGGGAAATTTATACGCGTGACTAGAGATGTGTCAACTTGTTTGTTTGTAACGCGTATCGCGCGATGTAACATCCCTGTCGGATTCGTGAATTTTAAATTTCTGGCTGAATCATGCGGTTTATCTGCGCCTAAATATCGACGGAATACAAAATTTATGACACTAGTTGTCGACAGGCATGCAGCGTGCACGATAAAATTATGCGGAACCGGAAGAGATCGAACACTGCATTACGTTGTCGCATGCTAGATAGCCTAAATGCCGCAACAAATCACGCAAAATAATGAAACTTTCGGTTGAAAAGAAAAAAATTGTTCGGGATTTATGTTTGAAAATTGTATCGACTTTTGTGTATCTAAAAATCTAATAAGTAATTCTAAAGAAACGGAGAGATTTTTATCATCAAGTCCATAAAAGAATTATTAAGATTGTAATCTCGTACATTGATAAAATTCCAATTTAATCTAACCGTTGTAAAATATTCCACGCGATTCATGTAAATCTCTTTATTGTAGACGGATCTGAAAATAGAAAAAATTGAAGAATATCACGAATAAAACAAACATTCTGGCATTTGAGTTTCAAGAATCATAAGAGGGTCGTTTTCTTTTTTTCACTTTTTATTTACGATTGGCGCAGATTGTCGCGAGCGAAATAATAACGTAAAATTTACTTTATTTAAGAAAAATATACCAAGGTGTCTACTTAAATCTTATAAAAAGAATTCTTAGTAAGTATTTTTGTTCAAAATTCCAGGTAAAAGAATATTTCAAAGATTTTTTATAATGCAATTTTTTAAATACATTTTTTATTGCGTTTTCTAATGTTTTTCATTTATAGAAAGGAAAAATACATAGCTTCTCAAGTTTCGAGCGCTAAATTTGTAAATGTACTAAAAAAATTGAATAATTTTTGAAGGTAAGCATTTTTCGCTTGTTTGAAATTTTCAATTTTTTATTTAAAAATAGAGAATATATATATGGCACACTCAATATTTTATTAAAACGTTATATGAACAAAAATAGATACATTTACATATTTTAAAAGTACATTTTTTTTCTTAATTTGCTGACCATTTACAATATAAGAGCAAAGTTCATCAAAGAGACATTTAAAAAAAATCCCTCAATCCCAATAAAATTCCATGAGAATTTCCTGTTTTATTTTTCCAATAAAAAAATCCCTGAGAATTCCAGGTATTTTTTCAAAGAGTAGATACCTTGTATCGTGTTTGCAAAAACACGCACTCAATGCAAGATCTAAATATTTCATCATAACTTTTCTTCTAACCTTACGAAATTGATGGCTTATTAAGATAATTATGCGCGCGAACGAGCATAAACGTATGAAAATTTTATTTTCTCCTGTTTTATTCATGACGTTTGCTCCCGTGCAGCTCGACTGTTAATCGCACTTAATTAATCGCGAAACGACAACATTGCGCTTTGATCCCAATCGTTTCGCTCCAATCACGTCGCGCATTCGTCGATAATGTTATTTTGCAGTCGCGACTATTCCAAGGTATCTGATCAAGCGCTCCAGATGGTTCATTTTCATGAATCACGTATCTTGAACGGGAATCTGGGGCAATCGAATGTTTGTGTTGCATAAGAAAAAGAGAGAGAGAGAGAGAAAGAGAGAAGGAAAAATCAATTAACGACAGCAAAGAAATGTTACGCGGATATTACACACGTACATGCACGTAAGTATTTTGTTGTAAAAGTCCATTTCCATGTGCCACGACGTTTCGACATCGCGAAGATCCTAATAAAGCATAAATAATGTCGTCATCGAAAGTGGATTTAAAAAAAAATTAGAATTGCGTTAAGAGAAAATGTGCGCGAATAATGCGGATAAAATAATCGTCGCGACAAACGAACGGCGGTGAAGAGAAAAATAATGGCTCGTTTTTTAATCCATGCCATCTGTTGCATTCGTCGACACCGCGCGCTCGATGCATTAATGCAAATGCATTTTGTTCACCGCGACGCGTAGGTGCTTTTTTTCCTTTTTAAATAGAGTATAACCGCGTGCAGAGCAATATAAACAAGTCACGGTGCTGTCAGAAGATACGCGATAGCAACAGAATTCTTAATTGATACATGTGCTTTCGACTAAATCTCTGTCGTCGAGTCGTATGTATTTTTTATATAATAGATGGGGGCTACAAGAGAGTAACGTTAAAATATTTATATCGGCTACGTTTTTATTGATGCGCTATT